CTGTCCAAGAGCCTGACTCCATTCTGTCCTTAATAAAATGTCCATGGAAATGAGTAAAAAATCGTGTCTTCAAAATAGAGGAGTAAAACAAACTTCCCAGAGTAAGAAATAAGGAATTCCAGCATGGAAATGCTGGGATCAGACTCCCCACATCCCAGTTAAGTGCTCAGAAAACAAATCCAGGTGGTGCTTGGCATCTTGGTAGGGAAAGGCTTGTGTGGATTTGGGAGGTGGGATGGCTCCAGGAGGATGCTCCTTGCCCAGGGAAGGATTGATCCAGCCCAAAAGCACGAGCAGAAGGCAGAGGAACCTCTGAGGAGACTCCGAGCTCTCCCTCCTTATCAAGGAGAGGGAGGAACCTGATGGCTTTTCCCAAAGGAGAAGCCTCTGAGGTCTCCCAGGATCCAGGCCCTGGATGTGGAGTGTTTTAAGGCACGTGGCTGTTTCTTTCCAGCACTTATTCCAGCATTCCGATGCCGGGTGGGTTTAAGGGCAGGAGTGAGGTGTCTTGAGGCTGCTTCTTTGGTCCCACAGAATCCTGAGGATCCCAGCACCCATGGGGGGAAAGGTGGATCAAGGTGGGATCAGAACTGAACCCAGCCAGTGTTTCCCTGAGCCTGACTGGAAGCCGACCTGGAGAAGGGGAAAAACAGGGGGGAATAGAGTGTTTAGAAATGATAAAGGCATCCAGGGAGGAAACTGGGCTGCAAATGGGTCATCCAGGAGCACCCCAAAACTCTCCTGGAGCAGCAGAGCAAGAAGTTCCCATGGACCTGAACTCAGGGAACTGGCAGCACAGAGGCAGAGCTGCTTCTGAACCCCAAAGCTGGGACTGGATGGAGCAGTGCCCCTACCCCAGCGGGGTTTTTCAGCAAAACCATGTGGTTTTGGGACATCCACATCCTCCCCAAATCCCTGTCCTGCTCACCCTGAAGCTTTGGCAAAGTCTCCCCAGACATCAGTAGCAGCAGCAGCAGTGGGCTGAGGCCAGGACAGCAGGGAGTCTGTCAGAAAGTCAGGAAGAGAGAAAACAGAACAGCAGGAGTGATTTCCCACTCTCATTCCCAGACTCCCCCCTTTGATGGATGAAGCAGCCCCAGGAGCTCTGTGTGAGCACAGACCTGTGATGGGGGTTCCTGGGAGCTGGGCAGGCGTGGAGAGCGGGCCCAGGCGCTCCCCAGAGCTGGATTTTCCTCCAGGGGGTGGTGGGAGCAAGCTCAGGCCCCCAGGCCCTGCAGGACGTGGCCTGGTGCTCCCTGTCCCTCCTTTTTTCTTCATGTTCTGAAAAGAGAGCAGGAAGTTTGGGTGGGATCACATTTAAATCCAGAGCCAGAGCGTGAAAACCTTGGAAGCCAAATTGTTTTAATTTGGGAATAAAATCCTGCACTGCTGCGCCTTCAAAGGGGTCACAGCAGGGGTGGATTTTACCCCAGATCCCACAGGCCTGGTTTTGGCAGCAGGAATTGATTGCACCACAACCCCTGCAAATCCCTGCAGGCAGCTTTATTCCCAGGAGCTCTGCCCTGAGCCCATGCACAAGGATTTCAGGGAGGAGCTGCTGCTTTCTCATGGCACCCAAAGGAAAAGCTGGAATCAGCTGGGAAAGGCCCTCACAGCGATGTTGAGTTTGATGGTTTGTCCCTCCTTGAAGCCCAGATCCAGTTTGGGTCCCTGCTCCAGGTCCTGGGCCTGCCGGGCCAGCTCGCTCTGCTGCCTCACCCACCTGTGGGAATTAAATCCATGGAAAAGGAGACACAGCCTGCCCCAGGCTCCCCCTGACAAATAAGTCCTGCTCAGGACCATCCTGCTGTGGCAGCAGCTCTGCAAAGACCAAGGTGTGAGCTGGGATCTCACCTAAGGGAGCACCCAGGGAATGATTCCCAGCAGTGGCTGCTGGAGCCCCAGGGATCCCCCAGCCAGCACCATGTCCATCCATCCCTCTCCAAAACCCCAAAATTCCAAAACCCCACCATCCCCAGCAGCTGGAGCAGCCCCTCAGGGCAGCCCCTTACAGCTGATACAGGAAGCAGAGGAAGTAAACCAGGGAATCTGGACTGGGAATTTGGACACCCAGTTTTGGACTTGGGAAGTCCAGTTTGGGACACTGCTGATCCAGGCTGGGAAATCCTGGAGAGAGGAAGAGCTGCAAGCTTCCTCCTCTTCCCACCACAGCTGCCCAGCCCAGCTCCCACTTCTCCACCTCTCCTGGAGGAGACCTGCCAAAAACAGAGCTGAGAGGACACAGGGAGAGGCACAAACTCACTTGAAGTGGTCCTGGAGAGCCACATTGAAGTCAAAGGCATCCCCTCGGTCCACAAAGCCGACCCCGATGAACGCCCGGCGGCCTGGGCAGGGAGGAGGAGATTGGGATGGGATGGGATGGGATGGGATGGGATGCTCCATCCTGCACAGCCCCGTGCCTGACGCTGCCTCCAGAGGGAGCTGGGACACCAGAGACTGAGACACAGGACTGGGGATCACAGAATCCCAGAATGGTTTGGGTTGGAGGGACTGCAAATCCTATCCCATTCCATGGGCAGGGACACCTTCCACTGCCCCAGGCTGCTCCAAGCCCCTGCCAACCTTGGGCACTGCCGGGGATCCAGGGGCAGCCACAGCTGCTCTGGGCACCCTGTGCCAGGGCCTGCCCACCCTCTCAGGGAACAACTGCTGCCCAATATCCCATCCAGCCCTGCCCTCTGGCAGTGGGAAGCCATTCCCTGTGTCCTGTCCCTCCATCCCTTGTCCCCAGTCCCTCTCCAGCTCTCCTGGAGCCCCTTTAGGGATTGGAAGGCCACAATTAGGTCACCCCCAGAGCCTTCCCTTCTCCAAAGGCATCTCTAGGTGTTTCACCTCATGGGCTGCACCTAAACTTCAGTACAAACAGCTTTTTAATTAAGTGGCAGCAGGGGGGGGCTCCTGCATCCTCCTGCCAATGCTGAGCAGCCAAGCTCCAGTGTTTTTGTTCCTGGCCAAGGTCAGAGCCGTGGGAGGCAGGCAGCTCCTCCCTCTGCCCTCCCGTGCAGGGAACATTCCGCCATGGGAAGCAGGAATCCTTCCCGAACAGGAGCAGCGAGGGCTGCGCGGGGTCCGCGGGTGTGCAGGACGCACCGTTCCCATCTTCAATCCGGATGACAAAATATCGGCTGGAGTCCATCACGCCCTCCACAGCGATCCCGGGGAACTGCTCCACAGGAGCCTGGGCAAAGAGCTCTCCTGGAACACAGCAAGGGGCCGGGTAACGCCGGGCCCAGCCCGCACCGCTGCTCGCCCGGAGCCCCGCGATCCCCCTCACCCGAGCTCTTGTCCTCCAGCTTGATGAAGGCCGTGCTGCCCTTGGCCGTGATGCGCAGGCGGCCGCTCCAGGCCGGCTGGTCCAGCTGCCACTCGGCGGCCCTGGGGAGCGGGGGGGGAGCCTGAGCCCTGTGCCGCCCACAGCCCCCGCGCTGCCCCGGAGCTCCTCTGCCTGCCTGCTAACACGGCCAGGGTGGGGACAGTGGCGTTTGTCACAAGATGGCTCGTTTCACCCCAAAACAGCTGCTGCGTTTGGGCGGGGAGCAGGCAAGAGCTGCGCGGGAGGTTTCGGTTCCCTTTCCGCGGAGTTTCCAGAGCCGAAGCTGCGTTAGGGACAGGCGGCTGTGCCAGGACGGGCTCGGGCTGGGGGTCACTGACGGGGTGGGAACCCCAAAACACATGGGGGGACGGAGACAGCCCTGTGGGGTGGGGATGGGGGCACAGACACCTCCGGGGAGAACCCACGGGGGCTGAGGTTTCTCACGGAAGGGCTGAGATACCCCATGATACTCCTTCTCACGGAGAGGGAGAGACCCCGAACACCTCTGGGAGCCACAGACCCCTCACACCTCCTGAGGAGGGGAACCCACAAACCCCACAGGGAGGGGGCGAGCCCCCCCACGCCAGGAGACGCTGACACCCCGCGGGCGGGCGCGGGCCCCACCTGTAGCCGCGGTTGGAGGCCCGCGGCGGTACCCGGTACACGAGCACCGCCGGCTTCACGCACAGCACCGACTCGTACTCCTCCTCCGCCTCCGCCGCCATCGCGGCCCCGACGCCGCTCTGTCCCGCCGCCTCGATGGTACCTCGGTGGTGCCTTGCTGCTGCCACCGCGGCCGCCCAGGAGGGGGCGGGGCCCGCCGGAGCGAGGCGCTTCCGCACTCGCGGCGGCCCCTAGCGCGCGGGCGGACCCAGTGCAGGGCGCCGCGGGAACTGGTCCCAGTTCGCTGCGGGACCTGGAAACGGGTCTGGGCTCCGAGCCACGAAACTCACAGGTTTCACTGGTTTTATAAATCAGGAAATTTTATAAATCAAATCATGGACTCCACTATTTCTATTCATTTATATTATACCGTTATATACTATATATTATAGCATTGTAGGTTCTATAAGATAGATATGATATGTTAAATATATGTATTAGATACTGGGTTGTATAATATATTACATATAATTATATGTTTCTTCTATATTAATTTATTTATTAATATTTTTATATCCTATTAATATTATATGTTTACTTTCTTTCTATTATAAATATATAGTTTTAAATAATCAGAATTCCCAGGGAGCCAGGGGCTGTGGGAGCTGCCAGGGCTCCCAGATTTCTCACCCCAAGAGCTTCCAGCACCTCCTCTGGACATTACGGAGCACAACACCCAGGGGGGAGCCCAGCATGGAGCAACAAAATAATCACATCAGATTAAATGAGTTCAATTAACTGATTTGCTTTTCTCCTCCAGGGACAGGCAGCGCTCACATCCACGCTTGGGATCCACATCTTCCCTTGGAGCACTGCCCTTCCCACCCTCCTCGGACCACTCCTCTCAACCACCCTAAAAACGGAGTAAACTCCCCTGGTTTTGGGTGAAATTATGGGCAAAAGCTCCCAGATTTTACCTTCCCGGTGGATTTTTACACACCTGCCACCACAAAGCCGCCCCTGGCAGACATGAGGATGAAAGCAGGGAGCCATAAAGCCGTGAAAAGTTTAAAGACATTTATTTAAAATACAATTTATAAAACGTTTTCTTTCCGGCGCACGTTTTTGTTTTTTTTTTTGTTTTGGGGCGGAAACACGCGGGTACCGCGTCCATCCTCCCCCTCCTCGGGATGAAGGCGCTTCCCACAGGAACGCCGCCGAGCCCTGCCCGCGGGCGGGACGTGTCCTGGGCACCGTGTCCTGGCGCCGGGACGCAGCAGGAGCAGCTGGAGAAGGAGATTTCAGTGCTGGAAAAGGGGATTTCGGTGCCAGCCACGGAGGAGGCAGCGATGCGGCACCGACCGGCCGCACCAGAAATCCGGCGGATTTGGGAGGTTTTTGGCTATTCGATGCTATTTTTAGGAATAATTAAGGAAAGGCGCAGTGACTACAGTTATTGCTGACGGCCTTCTCCCTCCCGCTCCCTCCTGGAGCTCATCCCGGCCCACAGGCTGAGGGGGTTGAGTGAGATCCCCCAAAAGTCCCCAGGATCCCAGGGGGAATCCCGAGGGAATCCCGCCCCACCTGGAACCAGGTGTGAGGAACTCATTAAGGTTCCGGGGGTTGGATACACAGGTAGTTTCTGTTTTCCCCTTTCTGTGGGATTTCAGCCTCATTTCCACACAGGGCTTTTCGTGCATATCAAGATTGGCTCATTCCCCCTTGAACCTACTGAAGGCAGCACCCAGACTCAGGAATCCCTTGGGAACCACCTGGGTCTCCAAGTCCTGGCCCTCCAGGAAGAGCATTTAGTGTTCATCCAATCCTTTGATATTGAGTGATCCTCAGCTTCATCCAGAGGGAAACATCTCCATTCCTGGGGAGCAGCAGCCTCCCCGTCCTCTTCCCAGGAGCCAGAGCAGGACAATCCCTTCCCTGAGGCCTCGCTGCCTCTAGGGAGATGGGGGGATCATCCAGGCTTTCCCCAAGGCTGGTCTGGTTCCCGGTTCTGCCATTCCAGGGAGCTCGTACCATCCCTGCACCGCTGGGCCGACCCCTTGGGATATCCCACTGCCCGATGTCACGGCCGCAGCGGCGCCGGAGCCTCTCCTCCTCCTCCTCCTCTTCTTCCTCCTCACATCTTCCTTATTCTTCACCACCCGGCCCTCCGTGGCCGGACAGCAGGCATTTGCACGGGGTCACTCTGCATTCCCTTCTCCCCAAACACAAAAGAACCCAAAAAGGATGTATTTTAAGCTTCTCCTCAAAGCCAGCAGGGAATCGGAGCCAAGCTTTAACAGGAGCAGGATGTGAACTGGGTCCAACTCTGAGGTACCTGGGGGTATCCAGGAGTTTGCTTCCATGGCAGTGGAAATGGAGAAGGAGAAGCATGAGCTTGTCATCCCCAAGCCATCACATTCATGGAAATCCATTAGAATTCCCTTCGGAACACTCAGCTACCTCTCTGGATTCAAACAAACGGCTCAAACCCTTCCCACGCACTCCGCCGATCCAAGATACAGAAAACAAACAGAAAGCCAAATAAAAGAACCTAAAATCCTTGGAAACAGAACTCGTTCTGGAAGTGATGAGGACAACATGCGCGGCTGGGGAGGCTTCCCATCTTTTTTTTTTTTTTTTCCTTAAATGCCAGGTTTCGTGTACAACAAACGTTATTGCTGGCGCTCGCTCCGACCCGAGCGGGACACGCACGACTCCCTGCGCCCGGCCGAGTCCGGCACGGCCCCTCGTGTCCCCCGGCCGCGGGGACAGCCCTGCCGCGATGGCCGCTCACAGTGGGTGGAGAGGGGAGGTCACAGTGCGTGGGGCTGAAGGTCACAGTGGGCAGAGCAAAAGGGTCACAGTGCAAATCACCCCGGGAGGTCCCCTGGCCCGGGTCCGTGTGTCCGTGCCGGCGGAACGGCGCCTCCGCCTCTATCTGCGCTGCTTGAAGCCCTGCGAGCCATCGGGGCCCAGCGGCTGCCGGATCACATTGTTGGGCTGCCGGCTGTCCTCGGGCTGCGAGATCCGCGGCGGCCTGCGGGGACAGAGGGGGACATGAGCCTGCGGGGCACTGCTGGGGTCTGCAGGGACAGAGGGGGACATGAGCCTGCGGGGCACTGCTGGGGTCTGCGGGGACAGAGTGGGACAGCTGAGCCTGTGGGGACACAACTGAGCCTGCGGGGGCACTGCTGGGGCTTGCGGGGACAGAGGGGACACCGGTACGCCTGAGGGGACACCGCTGAGCCTGTGGGGACACAGGGGACAGCTGAGCCTGCCTGCGGGGACACCGCTGGGGCCTGTGGGAGCAGGGACATGCAAATGAGGTGTGGAATTCTGGGTGCCTTGGGGAAACCCCTGCACCACAGGAATGCTGTCACGTGCTCTGGGGTACCCAGCACAGGAAGGACATGGAACCAGTCCAAAGGAGCCTGCCAAGGTGATCAGAGAGGTGGAGCAGCTCTGCTGTGAGGAAAGGCTGAGGGAATTTGGATTGTTCAGCCTAGAACAGAGAACCTCTGGGGTGACCTAACTGTGACCTTCCAGTGCCTGAAGGGGCCAACAAGATGGAGGGACGGTGGACAAGAGCTTGGGGGAATGGATTCCCACTGCCAGAGGGCAGGGATGGACTGGATATTGGGAAGAGTTCCTTCCTGGCACAGGTCTCCCAGAGAAGCTGTGGCTGCCCCTGGATCCCCTGAAGTGTTCCAAAGGCACACAGATGTGGCACCTGGGACATGTTTCGTGGGGAACACAGTCAATGGCTGGACTCTGTGATCCTGGAGAGCTCTTCCAACCTCAATGACTCCATGGTTTATGGCCTTACCAGGCACTTCCCTCACTCCCACAGAGCTGAGGCTCTAACAGAGCCCTCCTCTCTGCGCTGGCCCGGCTGCACTCCCTGAGCAGCCCACCCCCAGCAGCACCAGGCAGGACCTCCCCAGGCCCACGGGGCTGCTCCCACCTGTCCAGGATGGGCTTCTCCTGCTCCTCCTCGGGGCTGGCGCTGCCCAGGATGCGCTTCCTGGCCTCGGCGTACTCGGCCTCGCGCTGTGCCAGCGATTTGACGGGGAAGGCGGGGCGGCTGGCCGAGTGCGGGCTGCTGAGCACGCCGTTGCTCGTGGGCCGCTTGAGGATGCGGATCTGCGGCGGGGGCCCCGCGGGAAGGCTGTCGTCCTGGATCACGATCGGCACTTTGGGAGGAGATTTGGACTTTCTGCTGTTGGGAAGAAAAACATGGGGTTGGTGCTTGTTTTCCACAGGGGTTTGCTGACCGGCGTGTGAATTCCTAATGCTTGGATGGCCTTCCTGTGATTAAGAGCAGCCTGGAATAATTAAAGGCCTCGTTATAGTTGTAACTCTAAACTGGAGCAGTGGATTAGCTCACAAAGACATGGAAAAATCAGTCCTGCTGTGTGTGACACCACTGAATTCTACTGAAGGGAAGGGAACAGACACTGGGAAAAGTTTTAGCATTTCTAGTCAAAGATATTGGTATAAGCACCTTGATTTCATTCCCTGCAAGGATTTCTAGGGTCCCTCTTACCAGGACACCCAGCCTGTCACTCCAACCCTGCCATTTCACTCCTCAGAGCCAGCCTCAGCTCCAGCTCACCATCTGAATGTTTTACAGTCCCTTTTCTGCACGGAACTCCCAGAGGATAAATCCCATGACTCTCTAATAATCAAAGGGGAAAAAAAATCCAACAACAAAGGACTTGTCAGCAGTGATTAAAAACTTTTCTGGTAGGAGAGAATAACACAGCCCTGCCCAGGCCCAAAGGAAGCAGGAAAAGAAATTCTCCCCTGATGCAAGACACAGCGAGTCAGTCCAGAGCCAGGAGCTGGGATTACCTGACTCACCCATTTCTTCCCCTCTTTCTCACATAGCTTCCCCCAAGCTGGAGCTTCATCCAGTCTGGAGGAGCAGGCTCTGAAATCAGAGCACTCTCAGCTTTCTGCTGCCCTGCCGCGGCTCCGAAGGGCCACCTAGTGGCACAGAGACAGGGATTCCCTGATTCTCAACCCCAACCCAGCGCTCCCTGCTCAGTTTGAAGCTGTTTCCCCACTGCTCCCACTCCCCAGGCCCTCAGCTGTCCAACAGCACCTCAGGAAAATCAGGATTTTACCTTTCCCTCTGTGTGATCTTCAGCTTCTTTTCCAACCGTCTGTCTATTTCCTTGAAAAGAAGGAGACAAAAGTAAAAACACAAAGTTTTCAATAAAATGAAAACCAATCTCGGTTTGGAGGTGGGAGTTTGAGCCTGTCTGGGCACACATTTAATTTCAGTGTTCCAAATACCGATCTGTAAAGCGGGAAGGGAGTGTGTGATTCCATCTGAGGATAACTTGGGAATCAAGAGGCAGAGAAAAGCAAAGCCACCATGGAAGCCCATGAGAAAAGCAAACCACCAGGAGTATTTTGCTGTAACCAGCAGCACACCCACAGCAGGTCGTGGATCCGGCACGGGGCGCTCATCACTCATTTTAACCACCTCAGCTGGCAGAAAAACACCTGTGAGGGTAAAACCCCACGGATTCCACAGCAATTCCACAGCAAGGTACTCCTGGATCCAGGCAGGGATCAGGCCAAACCTGCTGGGCATTGGAGCAGCAATGGCCACAGCCAGGGCGATCCCGGGGGAGCTGAGCTTCAAGCCCAGAGCCCCGAGCCAGGGGCAGGGCTGGCCAGCAGGGCCACATTCCTGCCAGGAGAAGGGCCTGCCCTGCCCCACAAGCACCAGGGAGCCTCCCTGGGCTGCTCCCTGCCTTTCCACATGCTGCAGTCACCCATCGAGTCACCCACGGGCAGAGAGACGCGTTCATCACCGACACAGCCGGGTCTGAGCGTGTCAGCTCTGCCCGAGGCTGGCCTCCACCTCTGCCAACCTGGCCAGGTGTTGCAACCAGAGCAATTACAGAGAAAATTCTGCTAAGGAGGAGAACAAAGCCAGGTTTTCAACCCCCCTGCAGGTGACCTGCCCCAACCCCACCGGTATTTTTAGATCCTCACGACAGCTCCGTTAAATAAGGCTGAGAAACAGCTTTTTGTGTTTGATTTAATCATCAAGGAAGGGGGAAAACACTACCTGAGAGTGCCCTAGTTTAGCCAGCTGATAACTGGCACTACAGAAAAATTCCAAACTTGTGGTAGGAGGCAGCAGCTCTGCTTTGAGGCCTGGCTGCTTCCCCCTGCTGCCAGCAGGAACCACAGCGGGCACAGTTCGGGAAAGGAACGGGTTTGGACAGAAATTCCCTGCCCCTGTGAGCAGGGAAGGAGCACAAGTCACTACAAGATGCCAAACCACAGTGTTGGCTGTTGGTCATACAGGCCACAGCAGCCTCCACCTAGAAGGGAATAAATCATTTCAGGAAGATAAAAGGTGGGTGGGAGGTTGAGTTTCCTACCCAACCCTGTCCTGGGAGGTAACAAAACCAGGCAGAGCTTCACAAGGCAGGTCTCAGCCAGAGCCTCCTGGTGAGCGCAAACACCTGAGGCAGCTTCCTTCCTCTTCAAGGGGACTGGGAGGGAGGAAAATCCCATTCCAGCGCTGCTCAGGAGGGAGGGAAATGTGTAAAAGCTGCCTGCTGCCCTCCGAGAGCAGGGAGTGGATATCCCACTGGGGATGGAGATGCTCTGGAGCAGCTGGTGGCAAACAACGGAAGCCAAATGAAGGGAAGGGGTTGGCTCCTCACTGAGCCAGCCCAGGTGACATCCTGGTCTTGAAAATACGTTTTCAGCCTCCAAGAGTTCACCCAGGTCCTCCTGAAATATCCCCATTAAACACTTCAGCACACGGGGGAGAGAGACAACAGGAAAACAGGGTGAAAAGGGGGGAAACACACTCAGGAACTTCTCAAATCATTTCACTCTGAGTAGAAACAGGGCTGCTGAGCCCTCAGCTGGGACCGTGGGCACAGAGGGGTCACAAGCCACACAGCAGCCCTGGGGAAGTCTCTGTTCTGCTGCCTCCTTTCCAACAGAGGAGAGGTGGCAAAGTCACATTCCTGCACTGCTGGGGCTCTGAGCTGAGCTCAGGGCTGTTCCTGCACTGCTGCTGCCCCTGGGGCTGTTCCTGCACTGCTGGGGGCTCTGAGCTGAGCTCAGGGCTGTTCCTGCACTGCTGGGGGCTCTGAGCTGAGCCCTGGGGCTGTTCCTGCACTGCTGGGGGCTCTGAGCTGAGCTCAGGGCTGTTCCTGCACTGCTGGGGGCTCTGAGCTGAGCCCCAGGGCTGTAGCCGCGGTCTGACTGGGAGATGCTGCAATTGGAGGGTGTCACCTCCACCTCAGCACCTGAGAACAGGTGATTCATGGCATTGTCACCGAGCCCCAGCGCTGCCAGACAGTCCCACTCGCTCCAACCACAACCTGCAGCCTCCCCCAGCACAGAAAAATGAAGCTCTTTACTCTGCCCAACACAAAAACTTATTCCAAGGAATCCTTCAAAACCATCCCAACTCCTTCACAGCCTGTTTTGCTTTTCCCACTCTGGAGCAGGTCACTTCCAGCAAAATCCTTGGTGTCTGTCTCCAAACCCCCAAAACTGCCAGTGGTCAGGGAGCAAACACGTGGTCCTGGACCATAAACCAGTGCTCTGTGCTTGGGGAGCTCCTCAGCAGGGATCACACGGGGTCACGGAGGCTGGAAAAGACCTTGGATAACTGAGCCCACCCTGTGCCTGATCCCACCCTGTCCCCAGCCCGGTGAGTGCCACCTCCAGGGATGGGCACTCCAAACCTCCCTGGGCAGCCCCTGCCAAGGCCTGACCCCCACTTACCACGCAGAAATTCCTGCTGGTGTCCATCCTGAGCCTGCCCTGGCCCAGCCTGAGGCCGTTCCCTCTCCTCCTGTCCCTGTTCCCTGGGAGCAGAGCCTGATCCCCCGGCTGTCCCCTCCTGTCAGGAGCTGTGCAGAGCCAGAAGGTCCCTCCCAAGCCTCCTTTTCTCCAGCTGAGCCCCTTTCCAGTTCCCTCAGCCTCTCCTGGTGCTCCAGCCCCTTCCCCAGCTCTGTTCCCTTCCCTGGACACGCTCCAGCCCTCCAGGTCCTTCTTGCCATGAGGGCCCAGGACTGAAGGTGCCTCAGCACAGGGGCCAGGCCCTGCCCTGTGCCCACACCAGGCTGGCAGAAGGCACAAAGCCAAGACCAGTAAAATATCCCCAAAATTCCAGCCTCAGCAGCTGATGGGAGCACTGCGCTCTCTGCAGAACATGAGGCTTGCTCCACACACAGGAACCTTGGCAGAATAACAGAAACCAACCATAGACACCAATCACACATGAACCTCTCCCACCCACCCCAACCACTGTCAGTCCTGCAGGATCCACAGAATTCCTGGCACTGCTGAGGGGATTCCAGCTGCCTCCAGACATCCACTGAATTTTTGGGTAGGAAAAGTCTCCCTTTGTGCTTAAATAATAGCCAAAAGCAGCTCCCCACCTCACACACCTCTTGGTGTGTCAGAAATCGTGTTTTCTTCTAAACACAGGCACTGACTCTGCATTTTCCAGGAAGCTCAGTGCTCATTACTAGGATGTTTGGAATTGTAGGAATGGAGTGTTTGAACACCATGTGCAGACACAGCCCCAGCCCTGAGCAGTCTCACAGCTCGTGACAGGGATCACTGCACCAATTTAAAAGCAGAATCACCTTGGCACTGCTCATTTTTAATTAAAATCAAATCCCTGCTGCTGCTCTGCACGGATCCATCCGTCTGCTGATGTCACTCCCTCTCCTCTGCTGTGTCACGCTGTCACTGTGTGGGTAAGGAGATAAAATTAGGAGCTGACTCGGAGGGCAAGTGCCAGAGGCACTACAAGCACCACAGGCATGAGCTGTCTGCAGAGGCAGCTGGATGTGGCATCCGAGGACCTGGGCAGGTCACTGTGGACAAACCCCAGGTGTCCATCACCTGAGGGGCTCTTCCAGCTCCCCCTTCCCACACAAACTTATCTGCATCACCAAAAACCAAGCCTGCTTCACATCCCCGTGCAAAACCCCCTCCCCAAAGATTAGTAAGGAATCTCACCCACCTATTTTTAGGGCTATTATTTGTGGATGCCAAACAGGACCCAAACAAACAGCCTGAAGAAGATTCTGTTCTCTGACATTTAGGCTGCATTTGTGGACAAGGACGTCATGGAAACTGAGCTCCAGCCCCACCACAGCCACCCTTCCTACCCCTACCCTGAGGAAAACAGCCAAGAGGATCCACAACCCTCCCTGGAATGCAGACAAGGACCCCAGGACACAAAGCTGCTGCTCAGATCCTACATTCCTGTGGACTGGCATCCCAAAGAGCCACCCAACCATTAAGCTGACACCTTGGGGGTGCTCCTAGCGAGCTGGAGACCCTCAGCACCCCAGGAATGTGTCCTTCAGGAAAGGATGGCCCTGCAGAGACTCCAAGGGATAGAGGCACATTCCCAGGCAAATCCAGAATATTGGAAAGCACAGGGGCCCGAGTCAGCCCTGCTGCTGGCCAGAGAACCTTTTGGGAACACATGCAGTTCCCTGGACACATACAGAGCATTGTCCCCCATCCCTGCCTGCCAGCAGGGACCCTGCAAACACAGGAACACCGGCAGCTCCCAGCCCTGCTGATCCGGGCAGGAATAACAGGATAAGCCCTACCCCCAAGGTGAGTGAGTGACCACGACTGAAGGCGTCAGGAAGGCAGAGACTTTGTGTAAATCACTTACACTGGGTGGGTATTTCCCCCTCTTCCTTCAAAATTCCTCTGCAGAAATCCAGGGGAGATCCATACTGGAGCACAAGGCAGCAGATCCAGCGCTCTCCTGGATCTCTGGTAACATTCCAAAGCTCTGGAAAACCATTAACCACATTCTCTGCTGTATCTACTCCCAGCACAACCTTCTACCCCTTCTCACCCCAGTAGCATGGAATGCCAAAGCCCAGAATGAGCGAATTTTGGCAGGAGCTGGATCCTCCCAAAACCACGGCCTTGTCTGCTCCTTACAGCACCACTGGATGCTCTGGCAATTCCTGACAGAGACAAACTCCAAAGCCTGACTGATGTTCCTTTCTTTAGGAAATAAAAACAAGTTTTAAGATCTGAGGTCACCAGAGCTGTTGATGGGGACCTGAACCTGAAACTGCTTCCCCAAAACACCCTCAGGAAAGAGCAGATGTGGGCAGTCTCTGATCTCCTCGTTATCCACCT